CCCAGACCCCTTTCAAATAACACTGCAATCCTTATTGGCGCTGTGACTGTATGAGCTTTTAATTCCTTCTCAATGTACTCTTTGGACTTTGCCTTTGAGTATAGTGTTTTAGAGTGGAAGTAGAGAGGATAGGATTTGGAGAACCCTAGGGCCTCCTAAAAGAACCTAAGGTTAATTCTGGAAACTACCAAACTGACTTGGAGCCACATGGTTAGCAATAGCAGAGACCATGCCATTTAAAAGGCATGTTGTGGCCCCTCCCAATGAAGAGGATCTTCTTTCACAAGAATGAACTACAAATTTCCCCATGTCCCTACCCATTTAGGTTAGCCCCTAAAATTAAGCAATGTACCTTGTCTTCTCTGTTGTGTTTAAGGAAAACTAGATTAATGTCTGCCTATTAAAAAGAAGTTGAATTGCTATGGTCCATGGAAAGAGGTAGAAGACCATACAGATTCCTGAATGGGGCTAAGTACCTGCATTTAATTTTTTGTGCTTTAAGTCTGCATTTTGCCACTCTCTTTTAGCTCCTTGCTCGGATTGAACGTATGGAAAGGCGGATGCAGCTGGTAAAGAAGGATAACGAGAAAGAAAGGCATAAGCTGTTTCAGGGCTATGAAACTGAAGAGAGAGAGGAAACCGAGCTATCTGAGAAAATTAAACTGGAGTGCCAGCCAGAGCTTTCTGAGACATCCCAGACTCTGCCTCCCAAGCCTTTTTCATGTGGGCGGAGTGGAAAGGGACACAAAAGGTGTGCTGATAACTTTGTTATGCTGTCTGAACATGTTGAGGACACTTGTTCTCAGTGACTTACTGTAGGGGACGGGGACTCATGAATTAGTTTTAATACAACCATGTTCTGAATTATGAGGTCTTCTGTGTGGAGAAAGTATCTTGAAACATTCTTGTGCAGGCTATAAAAGTTTGTTAGGAACATTTTGGTCACAGTAGTAATTACTGAATGCAGAGTACATCATAAAGAGAATGGGCAACAAATGTGACAGCTGAGTTTCTTAAAGAAAACGATAGCAGATAGCAGGTCACTTCAAGTTAGGAAGTGTTAAATTCCTTCATTGTGTTAAGTATTGGTGAATATAAAAAAGTAAGATCTAACTGTCCTTGGACTCAGAGAGATTAGTCTAGCTGTGAGGATGGCATAAATTTTAAAACTAAGAATTCAACTGCAATAACATATGCTAGATAGACAACAGTAAGACTACTATTGTAAGATTCAAGGGTATTAAAGATTATTTTGAGTTAGAATAGTGAAACTTTAAGAAGGAGATGGATCTTGAAAAAGTATAGAATTTAGGTTGGTAAAAAGAAAAGGAGATGGCATTCTAGGAATGTGAGGTAGTAGGAAGGGGGTAGTGGTGGGAGAAAGAGAGCCAGCAGATAGCAAGAAAAAAGAAATAGAGATTGTAACTAACATGGTATAGGATTGGAGGGGGGAATAAGAAACTGGTCTCTGGTTGACAGGAATGAAATAAACCACAGGGTAAGTGGCACCTAATATTAGCTAAAGGATCCTGAATAAAGTAGGGACCTTTTTAGATTTAGTAGGCAATAGGATACTATAGAGGTTTTTAAGCATGAAAACTCACTTGTTCAGTAAACATTTACTAAGAGCCTATTATATGTACTGTTAAGCATGAGGCTGTTCCTGCTCATGAATGCCAAATGAACCTAGACATTTAGATACCTGAATAAAAGCTAGTTCTCTTACCCCAAAATGAAATCAAATCAGATTTTATTCAAGAGTCAATGAATTGTATTATATTTTCTCCCCTATCTAATAGGAAATCCCCATTTGGAAGTACAGAAAGAAAGATTCCTGTTAAAAAGCTGGCTCCTGAATTTTCAAAAGTCAAAACAAAAACTCCTAAGCACTCTCCCATTAAAGAGGAACCTTGTGGTTCCTTATCTGAAACTGTTTGTAAACGTGAATTGAGGAGCCAAGAAACTCCAGAAAAGACCCGGTCTTCAGTGGACACCCCACCAAGACTCTCCACTCCCCAGAAGGGACCCAGCATCCATCCCAAGGAGAAAGCCTTCTCAAGTGAGATAGAAGATTTGCCGTACCTTTCCACCACAGAAATGTATTTGTGTCGTTGGCACCAGCCTCCCCCATCACCGTTACCATTACGGGAATCCTCTCCAAAGAAGGAGGAGACTGTAGCAAGTAAGGCATAGAGAACACTTGCTCTTATACCCTAGTGGTGGCGGTCAAGCTAACAAGTGTGAAAATGCCTTTGGCATTTTTAAAAAAGTGCAATCAATAAAGCAGAGTTCTGTCAAGAATGAGTAAGTTAACAGCCAGAGACAGACACTGTGCAGGCATTGCAAATAGATGGAATTACAGCAAAATGTGCTCAATGTATTTGCCTGCTTACAACACTGGGAGATGTGTTTGCCAGTAAGTTGCTCATCACAAGAGCACCAGACTTGGGGGTGTAATCTCCAGCAACTTGCATGCCCTCTGAAAAAAGGGTTTTCTGTGCTTTGAAATGCATAGAACTTATACTTTGCCATGCACGACTGTTCCTGCAATTGATATTGTGTGAAACCTGGGAGGGTGGTCTTTGGGTGTTCTCAGGGGCCAATGATAATTTTTGGGTTGGGGAGCCAGCTTGGGGTGGGGAATTTCACCTGGGCCTCCGCTCTTTAACTATATAAACATTTATCTGTATCTCTTTGTCCCGGTCTTGGGGGGCAGGAGGAATCTGCCAAAGACCAAGAGTCTTACTTTATCTTATTATACTTCACAAAGGTTCTAAATGTGAAGAGTTTACTTGGATTGCAGTAGCCCATTGGTTGTTCATATATTTAAATAAAATGGTCTACAAACTATTTTTCAAACAATAAGGACTATCTTGGGATATCTGAGCTGCTTGGGGAGGGTGTGGGGTGTGGGACCTTGGTCTTCATTCCCTTTTTTTCTTTATGGCTTCCACACAGATATGCCCCCCATCTCCTACATTAATCAGTTACCAATGTGCCTTCAATTGTGTAATGTTAGTCTATGACAGTCACTATGGATGCTCTGGGTGATGGTGGGGGAATCCTTCTTGGATAGAGCTGCAGCCCTGAGTTTCTACCACTGTCTTGCCCCAGCAGGGATGGGGATGGGAATCCATTCAATAAGATACAAGCATTCTCCAGGCTTTGTCAGGCTGTTCTGGTGACAAAATTAAGTGGGAAGATAGATTACTCTTCTTAATTATCTAAAATTCATTAGGCCTCACATTTGTGTACATGAAATAGACCAGGATCCTGATCTAGGTTCAGGTTTTTTGTTGGTTCAGTCAGTTGAACAGGTTCATCCTTAAGTTAACCTTGCAGCCATGGCAATGCTGTGTAACAAGAGAAACCATGAAGCAACTTCCCATCCGGAATTGGGAAATAGCTTGGTCCAGAGCTGTTCTGTGTGACTGGCTGTTTTTGAAAACCCCATCTGCCCTAGTACAGAAAATTCGAAGCACCTCTGAGGTTGTGGGCATAGCAGTACAGAAGGAGTCTGATTGGCGGGGAATCCCAGCCCTTTGAGGAGCCTGAGTTGTGAATAACATGTGAATCCTTCTTCTTGATGCCCTATCTCAAGAGGAAGTCTCAATGGCTTATCCTAAGGAAGCCAAAGTCTTTGTGCATGTTGTTCAGGCTGGACCAGCAAGGTAGTTTGTTTGGAGGGAGGAGGGAGCTGTTTAAGAAGACTACATATGTAAGTTTTGAGAACACTGATCTTTTATTTGAAAAATAGGGTCAACTTTTACTCACCTGCCATGTTCTGAGTTTAAGGTTTGATATCCTTGGCCATCAACTGTTGCAGGGAAACCACCCTAAATAATGAAGAAAAGAAGTCGTCTCAGTGTAAAAAAAAAAGTGGTGGGCTTATTTTCTTTTCTTTTGTCTGTTGTTCCCTCTTCCCCTCCCCCAGAGAGAAACTCTCAAAAGAACAACTCAAAAAAACCAAATGGCTTCCTAGTGAGAGCTTCAGTGACGATCCTTTCCTCCATTTTGGGTATGGGCTTTTTTTCTTTTTACACTGAGATGATTCTTCTTTCCTGCATTATTTAGGGTGTCTGATGCCATCAAGTGTTGCAGGAGAAACTTCAGTCTTGGCTGGTGAGTAGAATAGGAATTGTGCTGGATGGGCCTGGGGTGGGGGCTGGTGGGATGGTGGATGGTCGGGAGCTGCATTCCCCGTCAGTTGGATGTGGGAGAGTGAGACTCCTTGGTGTATGATTACACTGTAGACTTCAAAATGACTACAAATTTCAGTTGTTTTTCAGGAACTACAATAGCATCCATTATATGAATTGTCAGGTATTGGCTTAGGGTTTTTTGGTGATCCTGTGTTTGGCAGACTGCAATGGCATTTTAGGTTCTTTTATACCATAGCGAGGACACTGAATATGGCTTCAGGTGAGGCCATAGAATGGATTCCTATCACTTGGTAACTTTGTCTTACTGGGGAGAGACCTCTTGTCCTAGTGAATAGTAGGAGGGTTATGTGACCTTGGATTTAAGAGTGGTTCCACCCCTCCTCCCTTCCTTTTTCTTTTTCTTTTTTTTTTCTAGTTCCTTCTTGGAGGGACCACTCAGTAGAGCCTCTAAGGGACCCAAATCCTTCAGACCTTTTGGAGGTAGGTACCCAAGACCTCTCAATGGGAAGGAGTGAGAGACAGAGTAGAAATGGGAGTATAACTTGAATATATCACAATAACTGTTTGGGTTAAATAAAACTTTAAAGCTAGAAGGTTACTTGAGGATTATCCACTTCAGCTCTGTTGTATAGATGAGAAAACTGAGGTCCAGGGTGGTTAAGTAATTTATTCAAAAATGAATAGCTAGGGAGTGTTCAAAGCTGGAGTTCATGTTAAGTGGAAAAGTTAGCATGTACCACCACTCAGCAACAAAATTATATATTCCAAACTCATTTGACTTAAAAGTTTGATATCTATTTTAAACTCGGATTCTTACAAAGTATGGGGGGTTTATGACAGTCTCACGTGTTGTTTCAGTTTGACATGACTTTCACTTTAGAAAGTTATGGAAATGATTTTGAAATTTGGAGATTCTACAAGGGTGATAGTAGGGGAAGGAGTATGTTTGTTTTGTTGATTCTGTTACCAGAAGGTTCCCATAATATGCATAGAACTCACAGACTCAGGTGGGACCTGAAGATGAAAGATGTTACCTTCCTGGAAGCTGGAAATGAATTAGTGTGTCACATGGTGATAAACAGCTTATCAGCTGCTGTTCTTTACACAGAACCTAGATGACAGTGTGTTTTCGAAGAGGCATGCAAAACTGGAGCTGGATGAAAAGAGAAGGAAAAGGTGAGGCTAGAGATGTTTATCCTGGGAACAACTGAGCTCTAGGACCCTGACTCCTCTTTCATCCATACTGTGGAGAGTCCTGGAGCTCTTAACACTCTTAAATTTCTAGCTTCCCAGTTGGTTGAGTATCTTTGTTTAAAGTGGTAGTTGTTGTAGGTAAAATGTTTGGCCTCTTTTTCTTCGGATATGCCCTCTCAGTTCCACTCTCTTTGATCACCAACACATGATTTGGACTCCTAGCCCTAAACAGTCTTCTGTAACCAGGCAGGCAGTTCTCTTTAACATCCTCCACCCCAACCCCTCTACCCCCAATCAAGAACAGTCAGCAAAGATCTCCCTAGCATCTGGATTGTGTAAATTGCTTTTATATAGAAGGTTTTCAGTAATGTTGGGTTTGTTTGTTTTGTTTGTCTGGTTTGTTTTTCCCAGATGGGATATTCAGAGGATCAGGGAACAAAGAATTTTACAGCGACTGCAGCTCAGAATGTATAAAAAGAAAGGAATTCAGGAATCTGAGCCTGAGGTTACCTCATTTTTCCCTGAGCCAGATGATGGTAAGTTTTGTCTATCTAAAAGAGTAGATTTCTTTTAAAGAAGAAAAAGGGCACAAGGCTCCAGGTTACAACTTGTTCTGAATGAATGAACAGTATGTTGGAGCAGGTATAGTTGACAGCCATTTCTCATCCGTGTCACTAACTAGATTGCATTTGACTTTCTTCCATAGTTGAAAGTTTGATGATTACTCCCTTCTTGCCTGTTGTAGCATTTGGACGACCATTACCAAAATTAACTCCACAGTAAGTATAAAGTGTTCTTTTTCCTGTCCCCTCTAGATAGCCAGCACTTCATCGCCCTTCAGACTGCATGAAAGCCTAGATATAAGTGGAACAGGCAGCTTAGGGATAGCCATGGTTCTTTGACAGAAGTAAGACTACCTGGGCAACTAGCTTTTGCAGTGGTAAGATTCCCAAGCCCAGAGTTAGGAGGATTGCTTTTTAAGTTAGAAATAAATTATTCAATCACTTTAATAGCGTAATATTGCTCTGGCTTTGAGGCAGGAAAAACATTCCAAACTTGGGACTTTTTTGAGTGAAGGCTAGGAGTGGTGAGGGACATGGTATCTTTTTTGGAATTACTCTCATGTCCACACTGAATCCCTCTAGTCTTGGAAGTTGATTTCCTTATCCTTTTTTGCCAGGAATTTTGAACTGCCCTGGTTGGATGAGCGTAGCCGATGCAGGTTGGAGATCCAGAAGAAGCAAACACCTCACCGGACGTGTAGGAAATGACTGTGCTGGCAAGAACCTTCTGTCTTCAGATAGTTGTAGCATGCCATTCCCAGAGAGTGGCAGAGACCTGTATATGTGACCTGTGTCCTCATGTATGTTATTCACTGATAATGCCCTTCCATACTCCCTTGATCTTGGTTTTGTTTTCCTCACTCTGATTTCACAAAAACTCTTTCATTGGGCTAATTGTGAATTATAGAGAGTGATTGGGATATCTTTTCCTCTTTTGGGGAAATGAGCTCTCAAGCTAAATCTCTAGGGTGGCAGATTTGGAAGCTTCCAGGGTCTGCTTCTATACATTTGCCTATGTTAAAGGGGTAAAGGGCTCTTTCATTACACTTGTGGAAGATAAAGCATCCCCTGCCTTTAGATCTGTGCTGCATGGCACTCTTCTTGCCCTGTTATACCCTTCCATATAGTTTGAGTATAGTGGTTTTTACCCTAAAACAAAACAAAACAAAAACCTCACCACGAGCTTAAAGACCAGATGAGGAATAACAAGTGAAGTGATGAAACAAGTCATCTTCACAGGGTAGAAGAGATTGGAGAGTTGTAGATAAATGTCTGAAAAGACAGTTCTCTTAAAACTATTCTGTGATATAGAGATGTGGGAAGGGATGTTTGGCTGTGATTTTTTTTAACTTTTTTTTTTTTTTTTTACTTAATGGGTAACTGAATTTCTTCCCCCACCCCTCAAAAAATAAAATATTTGGAAAAGAGAATGGGGATGGTTACCTTTGGACAAGTTATGGCTCTAAACGAAAGCAGTTGACATTTGGGGATGGCATGCCAGAACCTGTATAGATGTCCTTGTATCACATCACTTCTCAAGTATTCCTTTGTTGGGCTTTATCCTTTTAGCTGAGCTCTTGGTGGTGGGATAGAGATTTAGGGAGGGTGGGGGGTATATGTGGAAATATGTGCTTCCTTTGGCTGGCAAATGTCTATATCTTGAAACAAACAGATATACCTAATGAGCTTCTCTATTTACGTTGTAAAATCAGATTTGTATGTGTACCATCTTGGTTCCCCACCACCAGTACCACACACACCTCTTTTGTTAAAAAATGTCAGGCCAGCACTCCAGGCCACTTTGGTCTCAGTGTAAGATCCCTGTAACTATCTGGAAGGAAAACAGAGTCAAGACTTCTGGTCTTAAATATATAGGAATTGCCTTTCTTTAGTCTTCAGGACTATTGTGTGAAAACAAGTAGGGACCTAATCTCCTAGAAGATAGGGACTTTTATCCTTGAAGAGAATATGTCCCCAGCTTATTAGCACTTTTAGAGGAGAAGCCAAGGTATGTAGGGTGTGTGGCCGGCCCATCAGTGGAGCATGAGAGAATGGGATACCATTGTGGGAAGAAAAGAAAAGTTCCTCAGGGGCCTCCCACTGCTAAAGCTTTTTGTGAGATGTTGATCTGTGCTCCCTGGGTTTGACTTTTAAAAGAATTATTCCGGCAGCACATGTAGTATTCTTGGATGATCTTGCTGCTCTTATTTCTCCTTTTGTGTGTGTGTGTGGCTTTGGGTTTTCATTTGTAACTCCATCTGTTTAGGAGAGTGGGCTCTCCACAGGGAACCTGCTGTGAACTCCATTGCGAGAATGTAGAGAGAAATAGGACTTATTCCACTAGGGGCTCTCATCTCACACCTTAAGAAGAGGAAGGGGATTTCTAGAAAAATGGCCAGATTTTCTGTTTTCCATCGTTTTAACATGGCAAGCTTTCTGGTTTTCTTACTCTGACCTATGTTATGTTTCTTTATAATGTACCCAAGAAGAAAAAAGACCAATTAGTGTCTCTTTACTTTGTTCCTTGATTCCTCTGAGTTTCTTCTTGATTTTCAGTATTTTTGTTGGATTCCCAAATTTGGATATGGGTTAGCAAATTAATCTTTTGTTTGTGCCCTACCCAAGGGACTCTCCAGATTCTGAACTTGAGCTAAATGAAGAGGAATCCGTGAGGTGCTATCTGGCCAGACTTAAGTGGATTCTATTTCCTTGGTTCTCCCTCTACCTAGAACCTCTTACTTTATTGACCCCTCTTCTAGATCAATTCTTCTTTCATTTGGATATGCTGAGGTTTGTTTAGGAGTTTGGAGAATAGATTAGCAAAGTTCCAAGAGTGAAATTACAGTGTGTTAAGAGTGTGGGGGGAAAATTCATCTTATTTTTTCCCTACATGGGGTACAACACTGTGAAATTCAGTCTTCAACTGAAGGCCCTGCAGTTCTCCTAAAACATAGTTCTTTGTTTCGTTCTTTAACAAAGTTTAAGCTAGTGTTAATAAATTAAAAAGAGAAATTGCTTGTCTGTCCACTTCAGCTTTGTTTTAAGCCCATTTCATATTGTTGTCTGTGTTGTAATTCATACTTTTGATACCATTTCTGATGTGTAAAATTGGTTGTCTTGTAAATATCTTATAAAGAGTTCAATTGTAAATAAACTATTGTGGCTGTTAATTTTTGAACTTCTGTTTCAATTTATTTTATTGGGAAGCATTAAACAATTCTGCTTGTAGATTTTAAATCTATTTCACAAAATAGAAAAACATACCATTTTCCCTTTTATTAAGGTATTCACTTACATTTGTGTATAAGCACAATGTATGTTTCATCCCTCTTTTTCCTGTATTCTTCCTTACACATATTTGGCAACTTTAAAAACAAGAGATTATAGAATATTTGGTGCCTGGTGTCTAAATTAATAAAACCTCTAAGTTGAAAAGCCCTTAGAGGTCATCTAGTCTGACCTCTAATACACGATTTCCCCTTGACAACATTCCAGATAAATGAAGTCCAGATTCTGCTCAATACTTTGTTTTTTTCCATATTTTTCCCCCTAAATGTTAGAAAATTCTTTCTCGTTGACAAAACCTAACTTCTTATAACTCAAACCCATGAGTTCTTGCTTTGCCTTCCAGGGTGATGAAAAAGATCAATTCCTGAAAGAAAAAGAAGGATCAATTCCTTTTCCTCATAGTTCCCTGATGAAAGATTCCTGTGACTATCCCAACTCTCCTCTTCATGGGAAACATTCAGAAATTACACTTGTTCCTCAAAAGAAGATTCTTTGTTTTTTTAAATCCTCACCAAGGATATGTTTTTATTATTTTTAGAGACAGAAAGGGAGAAAGAAACATCAATGTGAGAAACTTCCATAGGTTGCCTCCCATATGTGCCCCGATTGGGGATAAAGACCAGGAACTGAATCTGCAAACTTCTGGTGTATGAGACGACACTCCAACCAACTGAGCCACCCCACCGGGGCAAGAAAGGATTCTTGAGGGCCCAGGCTGGGTAGCTCAGTTGGTTAGAGCATCATCCTGATACACCAAGGTTGCAGGTTCGATCCCCAGTCAGAGCCCATACAAGAAGCAACCAATGAATGCATAAATAAGTGCAACAAGAAATTGAAAACTCTGTCCAAAATAAACCAATACATAAAATTTTTTAAAGAAAGAATTTTTAATTTTTCAGTTCCTTCTGTATGAGTGAACAATTTGCTCATGTCCATTTGAAAATCGAGTCCTCCAGCCTGGCTGGGGTGGCTCAGTGGTTGAGTGTCAACCTATGAACCAGGAGGTGGTTGTTGATTCCAGTCAGGGCACATGCCCCTGAGATCCATCCCCAGTAGGGGGCATGCAGGAGGCTGCCGATCAATGACTCTCATCATTGATGTTCCTATCTCTTCCTTCCTCTCTCTGACGTCAACAAAAACTTTTTTTTTTTTTTTAAATTGAAGGCAGACCAAACAACTGAAAGGCAAAGTGGTAGACTATCATTTTTCTTATTTAGACAGTAAACTTGGCAGCCTTATTTGCATCAATTTATCTTGTGATCAATAAGACCCTCAAGTCTTTTTTTTTTTATTTTAACAAATCATACATCCTCCATTTTGGACTGGGGCAGTTGGTTTTTGGAGCAGGATTTACAAGTTGTCATATTTGGCCACTTGTTTAACCAGTTAAGATCTGTTTGGATCCTGGTTCTCTCTCTCAGAAGGCATTCAAAATGCCTTCTAGTTTCATGTTGCCTATACATTTGATAAGTATCAGGAACTCTAACCATATATAATTTGTAAATATATTACAACAATCCTGTGCTGTGCCACAGGGACCTTTACTATATGTATATTAAGGTGTACTCTTGTAGGTGCACTAATAACTTAGCTCACACGTCTTGTATGTCCAAAGAAAATAGAGGGTGGTGGAAAAGGTTTACAGTTGTTTGTATGAAAAATAATACAATAATTAAGAAAGAATAATACAAGACTAAACTGTTTCGCATACTCAAAACTATAAACCTACTTTTCCCCCACCTGGCATACTGATTTTTTTTTCCATTTCTGACGAATGCCTTGCCAAAATCAAAGCATTCCCCTCATCTGGTTAACAAGGGAATCATATCAGTATAGGGAACCAACGACGGTTCCTAATCATCTCTTCTTTTTAAATCAGTTCTAATATCTTGGCAAGACTAGCATCATGCCAGCCTGCACTTTGGGAGAGGTGATGGCTGGGGTGGAGAGGACACATGAAGAAGGAAGAGGAAATGAGAACACAGGGAAAATGCAGCAACAGTAAGTCCTCGGGCTTCACTGCAGACAACACGGTTTTTCCTTCGCCTTTTAGCTTAAAACGGGATGGTGTGGCAAACCTGATGATGCAGCACAACTACTTTACAGGTTTACTTTGATTCGTGAGTTTACCAAACAAATGCAGTAAGATGATTTGCTTCAAACGTAGGCAGAAACGAGAAATTGAAAAAGAAAACCATGAAACAGCTCCAATGCCGCAGTGAAGCTGTGACAGGTCCACGCCTACCACTCGGAAAGCCCAAGATGGCCGGGCCAGGAGCCTAAGGAGGCTGCCCAAATCTAGATCCCCTCGCCCGGAGCCCACCCTGGGGAAGTCTGGGGACGTGCCACGCCCCCTCACGTAACCGATTACGTAATCCCGCTCGCCAGCAAACGTGCCGCAGCGCGCCAGACCCGCCCCCAGTCCCGGGCTCCCGAGAAGCCGGACTGTCAGTGCCGCACGTGAAGCATGCTGGGACTAGCTTTCTGGACTCCCGGCAGCCCCTGCGACGGGCGTACGTAAGGAACTGGCTGGCCGCGGCCGTTCTCCGTAAGATGGCGGACCGGCGGCGGCAGCGCGCTTCGCAGGACACGGAGGACGAAGAGTCTGGTGCTTCTGGCTCAGACAGCGGCGGTTCCCCGGCGCGGGGCGGCGGGGGCTGCAGCGGTAGCACGGGAGGCGGCGGTAGCGGTTCTCTGCCTTCCCAGCGCGGAGGCCGAGCCGGGGCCCTTCATCTGCGGCGGGTGGAGAGCGGGGGGGCCAAGAGCGCTGAAGAGTCTGAATGTGTGA